TCCCCCTTTTCCTTTCCTCCCTCTTTCTATTCTCTCTTTCTTCCCACCCTCTTTCTTTGCTTCCTTTCCCTTCCTCCCTCTTTCTTTCCCCTCTTTTTTCTTTTCTTCTCTCTTTCTTTCCTCGCCTCCTTCTTTCCTCCCTCTTTCTTTTCTCCTGCCTCTTTTCTCTCTCTTTCTTTTCTCCCTCTTTCTTTCCTCCCTCGTTCTTTCCTCCCTCTTTCTATTCTCCCTCTTTCTTTCCTTCCTCTTTCTTTATTTTCTCCCCTCTCTTCCTCCCTCTTTCTCCCTCTCTCTTCCTTTCCTTCCTCTTTCTTTTCTCCCTCTTTCTTTTCCTGATGACTGCGGTTCTCCGTGACTGATGCCCAACACCAAAAATATTTATTGATCATGTTAACATTATCCTAATGTTGCGTGTTCATCGGTAGTTGAAAGCTCTGCAGTAAATAGCTTTTCTTTCTCAGTACAGGATGATGGAAATGCCGTCCGAAAAGATACGACACAGAACGAAACTGAAATGCGAAAATGAATAGAGATCGTCGAGTGAAAATTATGAATTTCCGTTTTTTTTCGTGTTTTTTTTTGCTTTCTTTTCTTCCTTTTCTTTCTTCTTCTTTCTTCGTCTTTCATTTTCTAAAAAAAAAACTACTCATCAAAGGGAAGGGTGAAAATGAGACGCCATTTGGATAGAAGAACGAATAAAAAAAAAAGAAAAAAAAATGAGATGAAATTTGGAAATCTAGGCATTTCGAGAAAAGGGAATATCTTCTCCTGATTGCATTTTCGTTATCCTTCCCAAAAACAACAAAGTCGTTAACCGAATTTCGCAGAATATGGATGTCGTGCATATAATCCACCAACTCCCTCCTCCTCCCTCACTCCTGGCACCCTTAAGGAAGATAGAAAAAAGGAGGGAAAAAAAAGAAGTGGAGAGAGAGAGAGAGAGAGAGAGAGAGAGAGAGAGAGGAGAGAGAGAGAGAGAGAGAGAGAGAGAGAGAGAGAGAGAGAGAGAGAGAGAGAGAGAGAGAGAGAGAGAGAGAGAGAGAGAGAGAGAGAGACAGAGAGAGAGAGATAGATAGATAGATAAATAGATAGATAGACAGATAGAGATAGAGAGAGAGAGAGAGTCAAAGTCAAAGTCAAAACACTATATTCCATTAATCACAATGGTTATTCTTTAAATAAATACATTCATATCTACAACTGATTATTTAATAGGTGTTCTTTTCATTTCGTTTTGAAATTACAAAAGCTATTAATGAGAGAGAAAGAGAGAGAGAGAGATAAAGAGAGAGAGAAAAGAAAAAAGAGAGAGAGAGAGAGGAGATAAGAGAGAGAGAGAAAAGAAAAAGAGAGAGAGAGGAGCATAATAACAATAATAATAAGAGCGAGGAAATAGTTCAAAAGTCAAACCATTACTTCTATTTTTACCTGATTGATCAGCTGTTTTATAGATCGTTCCAGACAAGTTAGAGCCGAGGTAGAAGGATTCAACAAGAGTTTTAGCTGTATGAGGTTTAAGGGGAAGTGGGGGTGGGAAGAGGGAAAAGGAGGGGGTGAGGGGAGTGAGGGGAAAGGAGGGGGGTTGAGGGGAAAGGAGGGGGTGAGGGGAAAGGAGGGGTTGAGGGGAAAGGAGGGGGTGAGGGGAAAGGAGGGGGGTGAGGGGAAAGGAGTGGGAGGGGAAGGAAGGGGAAAGGGGGGTGAGGGAAAGGAGGGGTGAGGAAGGAGGGTGAGGGGGAAAGGAGGGGTTGAGGGGGAGGAGAGGAAAAGGAGGGGGAGGTGAGGGGAAATGGAGGGGGTGAGGGGAAAAGGAGGGGGGGGGGTGAGGTGAGGGGTGAGGGGAAAAGGAGGGGGGGGAGGGGGGGGAGCAAAGGAGGGGGTTGAGAGGAGGAAGGAGGAGGGGGAATGAGAGGAAAGGAGAGGTGAGGGGGAAGGAGGGGGTGGGTGAGGGAAAGGAAGGGGGTGAGAGGGGAAAAGGGGGTGAGGGGAAAGGGGGGGTGAGGGGAAGAAAGCTGAGGGCGGGGAGGAGGGGGTGAGGGAAGGAGGGGGTGAGGGGAAAGGAGGGGGTGAGGGGAAAAGGAGGGGGGTGAGGGGAGGAGGGGGTGAGGGGAAAGGAGGGGGGTGAGGGAAAGGAAGGGGGTGAGGGGAAAAAGGAGGGGGGTGAGGGGAAAGAGGGGGGTGAGGGGAAAGGAGGGGTGGAGGGGAAAGGAGGGGGGTGAGGGGAAAGGAGGGGGGTGAGGGAAAGGAGGGGGGTGAGGGGAAAGGAGGGGGGTGAGGGCTGGGGGTGGGAGGAGGGGGGTGAAGGGGAAAAGGAGGGGGGTGAGGGGGAAAGGAGGGGGGGTGAGGGGACAAGGAGGGGGGGTGAGGGGAAAGGAGGGGGTGAGGGGAAAGGAGGGGGAAGGGAAAGGAGGGGGGTGAGGGGAAAGGGGGAGGGGTGAGGGGAAGGAGGGGGTGAGGGGAAAGGAGGGGGAGGAGGGGAAAGGAGGGGGTGAAGGGGAAAGGAGGGGTGAGGGAAAGGAGTGGGGTGAGGGAAAGGTGAGTGAGGGAAAGGAGGGGGGTAGAGGGAAAAGGAGGGGGAGTGAGGGGAAAGGAGGGGGGGTGAGGGGAATTGTTAAAGCCTAACCTAGACCAAGGAG